GCCTACTTGTGATTTCTGTCTGTCAAATAAATAATCTTTAAAAAAAAAAAAAAGATTCATTTCTACTCTTTGGTCTCAATCATAGAAAAAAGATAACAAAGGGAACATCACCCTTTGGAAAGCATCACAATAAGAAGCACACGTTGTGCCACTACTGTGGCCCTCAGCCCTACCACATCTTCATGTCAAAAGCTGACTTGTGGCAAATATGGCTACCCTGCCAAGCAGAAGAGAGAAAATAACTGGAGTGCCAAGGCTAAAAGATGAAATACCACTAGAACTGGTCAAATGAGGCCCCTAAAAATTGTATACCACAGATGCAGGCATGGATTTTGTGAAGAAACAACACCTGCACCCAAGAAGGAAGCTGTTGCACCATCCAGTTCATCTTAAGGATTTCAATGATTGGTCACATAATAAATGTTCTTGTTTAAAAAATAATTTCCTAAATTCCAGTTTCCAGTTCCACACATAAGGAACTTGGATATTGCCACTCCTCCCTAACAGCAAGTAGAAACCTGAATAGAACATAAATCAAACTCTTTTTAGATCCACGAGAGAGCAAAAAATACAAGACAAACCACTGCCCAAAGATTGGAGAAACAAATTAGCGAATACAGAGTGTCACAGCTTAACATAGCAGAGATTTAAAGATAGAAAACACTGTGGAAAACAATGCCAGTATAGGAATACCAAAACTATAATTGAAGAACTGCTGGAGGCTCCATTCTTCAGAGAGTTAAAGGCAGAGTTAAAACTCCATGGGCCGCATCATAGGGGAGGATCCCATAATTCTAATTTACTTCCAGGAGCTCAACTAGGTTCTCAAGTAAATAGTGGAGAAAAACCCTTTCATGCATCTGGCAGGGGAAGAGAGAAAGGAAGCATTTTGAAATATACCGGAGCAAGCCCTCATGAAAATCAAACTAACCCAAACTACTAGAGCATTATCAGCACATAATAGGGCCCAACCTACTAAAGCATTATCAGCATATAATAGACATAGGGAAGGGAAATGCCTAATTCCAGTCACCTTTAGCCTTCCACATAAGTTAAAGGAAATACCTAATTCCAACTCATACTAGCCAGCCATTCTGACCCAGCTAAGAGAGAGAAAAAACTGAGAAACACTTGTGAAGTTCACAGACCAGTTCAGAGGCACAGACTCCCTAAAAAGACTGAGAGCTAATCATAGAACTATAGCATTTATTCCCTTCCCCATACCTTACCACCACATTACTGAAGGCATATTTACAAAAGTTCCTTTACCTAACACATCATGTCAAGTTACATAAATTGAATGTTTGTATGCCCCAAAACTCATGTTAAACTAATCCTAATGTGATGGTTTTTGGAGGTGGCAGCTTTGGGAAGTGATTAACTCATGAGCACAGAGCTCTGATGAATGGGATTAGTGTCCTTATTTAAAAAAAAAGAAAGGGCAACCAAGATAGTTTCCTGCCCCTTCCACCATTTAAAGACATAGCAAAAAAATGACCTATGAAACAGGAAATGAGTCCTCAGTAGAACTAAATCTGCTGGCACCTTCATCTTGAACTTCCCAGACTCCCAGAGGTATAAGGAATAAAATTCTCTTATTTAAAACCCATCCAATATGCTATTTTGTTATAGCAACCTGAGCAGAATAAGACATCCAGTTACCAAGAGAAAATTACAACAAATATTAAAAAGCAAGAAATTAGAAGAAACAGGCCAAGCACCAGAGCCACACATGGCAGGGAAAGTGCCATCATCAGATAGGGAACTTAAAACAAGTAGGATTAATATCCTAAATGCTCTAATGAATAAAGAAAATAGAAGGCAAAAACAGGCGAGAACCACACAAAAGGCAGAAAAAGAATGCATGATAAAAATAGGAGCAAAAAAGGGGGGACATTAAATAGAAAACAGTAACAAATATGGTAGATATTAATCCAACTATATCGATAATCCTTGAATGTCAATGGTCTAAATTTACCAATTAAAAGACAGAGATAGGGACGGGTGGCTGGGTGGCTCAGTCGGTTAAGACGTTGCCTTTGACTCAGGTCATGATTCCAGGGTCCTGGGATGGAGTCCCACATCAGGCTCCTTGCTCAGCAGGGAGCCTGCTTCTCTCTCTGCCTCTGCCTGCCACTCTGCCAGCTTGTGCTCTCTCTGACAAATAAATAAATAAAATCTTAAAAAAAAAAAAAAGAGAGAGATTGTCAGAGTGGATCAACAAGTAAGACCCACTATATAAGACTTGTATAGTAGTCTTGCTGTCAATAACAGTCCCACTTTAAATATAAAGACAAATATAAATTAAAAGTAAATGGAGAGGGCACCCGGGTGGCTCAGTGGGTTAAGCCTCTGCCTTCGGCTCAGGTCATGGTCTCGGGGTCCTGGGATCAAGCCCCGCATCGGGCTCTCTGCTCAGCAGGGAGCCTGCTTCCCTTCCTCTCTCTCTCTGCCTGCCTCTCTGCCTACTTGTGATCTCTATCAAATAAATAAATAAAATCTTTAAAAAAAAAGTAAATGGAGAAAAACATGCCATGCTAACAGTAATCAAAAGAAAGCAAGAGTAGATACATTAATTTTAGACAGTACAGACTTCAAAGCAAGGAAGATTATCAGGGCTAAAGAAGATCATTATATAATGATCAAGAGGCCAGTTCTCCAAGAAGACATAACAATTCTTAACATATATGTTCCTAACAACAAAGCAGCACTATATGAGGCAAAACTGATAGGACTGCAAGTAAAAATAAATGAATCCACTATCACAGTTGAAGACTTCAATACCCTTTCTCAGAAATGGACAGAGTAGCAGGCATAAAATCAGTAAAGACATAGTTGGAATCAATAACACCATAATCAAAAATAGATATATTGACATCATTTATAGCAATGAAAGCATATATGAAAATCTAAGTTTCCACCTTAGGAAAATAAAAAAGAAGACCAAATTAAATTAGAAGTAGTCAAAAGAAAAATGAGTAGAATTGGAGCAGAAATCAATAAAATTGAATATGAGAAATAAATAGAGAAAATCAATGAAACCAAAAGTTGGGTCTTTGAAAAGATCAAATCTATAAGTCTCTAGCATGGTAAACTAAGAAAAAAAGAGAAGACATAATTACTAATATCAGAGTGAAGGAGGGGACATCACTACAGATCTCATAAACATAAAAGAATAATAAAGGAATACTATGAACTCTATGCCCATACATTTGATAAGCCAGATAAATTGGACCAATTCCTTGAAGGACTCAATCTTCCCAAACTCACACAAGAAAAAACAGATGATCCAAATACACCTGTATCTATTTTAAAAATTGAATCAGTAATTAATAACCTTCCAGAAAAAGAAAGCACCAAGCCCAAGTGGGTTCACCAGAAAATTTTACCAAACATTTAAAGAACACATTACATCAATTCTCTACAAACTCAGAGAATAGAAGCAGAAGGAATATTCCTTAACTCATTCTATGAAGCCAGCATAACCCTAATACCAAAACAAGGACATTGCAAGAATAGAAAACTACAGACTATAATCACTCATAATTCTACATTAACTCTTTTTACAGTTTGAGATTTGTAATTATAATTCTATAAAATCAACCATATTGTGTTATTATGTTATTGTATTTTTTCATTTCTAGAAACAATATTTCTCATTGCTGATTGATATTCAGGGGAAGACCAAGGAAATCAAATGCAAAGAAAAATCTTATTGAAATAGTTATTGATTTTTCAGCTGAGAATCATTTATCCTTATTCTAAATGATCCAATTTAAAATTTTTATTCTATAATCCTCAAGGTTTTTTATTTACTTGAATATAGTTAATACACAATGTTGTATTAGTTTCAGATGTACACATAATGATTCAACTTCTCTATACATTATGCTATGCTCTCCACAAGTATAGCTACTGTCTGTCACCATAAAACATTACAATATCATTAACTATACTCCCCATGCTGTCCCTTTTATTCTCCTAATTTATTCATTCCATAACTGTAAGCCTTTATCTCCCACTCCTCTTCACTTATTTTTCCCAACCCCCCCACACCTCTTTCCTCTGGTAACCATCAATTTGTTCTATTTATTTATAAGTCTGATTCTGCTTTTTGCTTGTCTATTCATAAGTTCTGTTTTTTAGATTTCACCTATGAGTAAAATCATAAGGTATTTATCTTTCTCTGATTTAATTCACTCAGCATAATACCCTGAGCCCAACCATGTTATTGCAAATGGCAAGATCACATCCTTTTTATAGCTGTATAGTATTACATTGTTCAAGGTTTTATGTTCAAATATAGTAATATAGTAAAGGGGGGGGAAAAAGTCTATGGTTTTATTTGCCTACAAGTTCCAAAAGAATAAACTGAAACATAGCTATTAAAAAAAGGTACTGAAATCTTAGGTTTTATATTAATAAACATACACTATTCAGAAGAAGGAAAGTGAAAATCCTACTATGTACAAATCAGAATACACCAAGAATATTACACTTAGTTCTAGTATCATATTAAAAGAGAGAGAAAGAAAAAGAAGGAGACCCACAAACCAAAGAAGAGCCCTAGATAACTTCAAAGGAAAATAAATTATCATGAATTTAAATAACAAGAATAGTAAAAAATATTTGGAACATTTATCCTTACTAGAAAAAGACTGAGAAGGAGATTGAAAAGAAGTCACAGGAAAATGGAGAAAAAGTAGGCAGCAGGCAGGCAAATTTAGATCAGTTTAAGAAGGAAATTGCAAGGAATGGAGTTGTCCACTATTGAAACAATAAACCTTAGAGCTAGTGAGTTCTTTATCACAAGAGGTGTCCAAGCAGAGATGGTGGTTACTTCATAGAGATTAAAGTATAATTCCTTCAATAATTTTCACTGAGTAACAACTAGCTAGCTAAGAAGCACAGTAGATCTAAGAGGACTCTAACCTTGTAATGATAAGAGTCAATGATCCTAAAATATAGAAAGGAGATGAAATAGCTACATTTCAACTTACCTTTTTTTCCTCCTGTAATATTATTACTTCATAAAATCGTGGGAGATTTAAGCAATAATTTTGTCGTTGATCTTTCTTAATGTTAATATTTTCATAATGAGGTGTCTTTTTCCTTTAGAAAAGTCAGAAAAATTGAGGAGCTCTCAGTTTCAAATATATTATTGTTCATGTAAACAAAGAGAGTGTTTTACACCAACATTGTCTGCCTAAAAAGTATGCAGTAATATGATCAGCTGGGTGTGTTAGGCCAATATATACTAAATTTTGTAAAATGTATTAATCTATGTTGGTTAGTTGCGCATTTTCTAATTCAGAGCATTACAATAAACTTATAATGACTCCAGAAAAAAAAATAGGATGTAGGATTTATATTAGGAGTTTATTTTTTTTTTATTTATTTATTTATTTATTTGACAGATCACAAGTAGGCAGAGAGGCAGGCAGAGAGAGAGGAGGAAGCAGGCTCCCTGCTGAGCAGAGAGCCCGATGCGGGCCTCGATCCCAGGACCCTGAGATCATGACCTGAGCCGAAGGCAGAGGCTTAACCCACTGAGCCACCCAGGCGCCCTATATTAGGAGTTTAAATAAAAAGCTACCCAGAAAAGTTTCCTGAGTATTCTGTTTAACATAAAATATTCTTAAAATTTCAAATCCCTTGATATTTCAACTATTTATAAAACAAAACAAAAAAGGGACATAAAGTTCTTTAAAAATAAAAGAGAAGCTTATTTTCACTGAAATTTATGCAACCTCAAGAAAGAATAAGAAAATAAAAGTGATTAACAGCCCAAGCTTTATAGTCAAACAGCCTGATGTGAATCCTAGCACCTACTAGCTGTAGTGTGACCTTACACAAATCACCTTACTTTTCTAAACTTCAGAGTAGATTCTTCACCTGACTGGAAATAGTAACAACCAATTATTAAGATTGTAATGATTAAAGTAAGTAATACAGGTAAAGTATTTAATGTCATGCATGGCCCATAAGTACACAATAACTGAGCTATCATTACTACAAGAATTTTTTTAAGATTTACTTATTTATTTTAGAGAGAAAGAACATGAGAGGAGGGGCAGAGGGAGAAGGAAAGAGAATCTCAAGCAAACTCTCCACTGAGCACAGAGCCTGATGCGGGGCTCAGTCTCAATGACCCTAGATCATGACCTGCTCTGAAACCAAGAGTCAGAACTTAACCAACTGTGCCACCCAGGTGTTCCTACAAGAATTATTTTTAAATAGGCTATACTGACTATACTATTTCTTCTACTTCTTAAACAGAATTAAAAAAAAAAACCTCATATTAAACATTTCCAATGAACTATATTGAACATAAACGTTTTTTTTAAACAGGTAAAAGAAAAACATAAAAACAAATGTTTAAGTTATATAATTGCAAATAATCTGTTTGACATTGCTATGATTTAAATACCCATTTAACATCTCGGTTCACTGGTGAATGCTGACTTCACTGATTTTTTTTCACACAAAATTCAACAAATGAACTTGTTTTCAAAACCTCAAATACTTTTGTGGATAACAAATTTATATTTGGGAGATCAGAAGGGTCACATATCATTCTGGTCTGTATCTTTCCCAAAAAGAGACCTAGACGCTTATCTTTCCATTTACAGTAACCAAGTATCTCCACTTTTATACTGTATCAAATATCCCAGAATCATTCTGCCTTAATCAGTAAGTAAAAGATTAAGAAAAATGAAAAATAAAAAGGTACAAAATGTCAACTACCAGAGAGAACCAAGACAACTCCAAATAAAAGGTAAGGTGAAGGCAACAAAATCAAAGAGCAAACAAATTATGGAAATGGTGACATAAATGAAGCAGTCTAGAATGCCCCCTATATGGATACATTTCAAAGCAAAAGTGAAAATGTGAATGGAAGAACACAGGAAATAAAAAAATTCAAAGAGAAAGTAACATTAAAAAATGAGGAATTAGAATGGGAGTGGGACAGGGTTGGAGAAACAAAAGAGACTGTTGGGAAAAACTGCCAAGCAAAATCAGAGCAATAAGGTCAAATAGAGTCCCAGATATGCCTGCAGTATTTAGTTAGAAGTGTAGTGGAATGGAAGGAAAGCAATCATCAAAGAACTACATACCTTTAATAAAAGTTACTTTTGCCTTATATTTATTAAACCTCAATAAAACTGATGAGCAGGTAGGCAGGCAAGCAGGCAGACAGACAGAAAGATAGACAGATAAGCAAACCAGCCAAACTGAAAGAAAAAAGGATAAAATTAGAATACTGAATAACAAAAACATATGTCAAGAGGATGAACAGAGCTAATCAGAACATTTCATAGACTGTTTTGTTTGGAATAATGACAAAGACATTAAGTTAGACCCCATTAAGCTAAATAAACATGTTGAAGTTCTAGTGTACTATTGAAAAAATAAAAATACAAGGTGTACCTCTCATATTAGGAGAGTTTAGAAAAATGAAGAAGAAAAGAGAATAGGGTATAAATTCCCAAAAATAAGAACCATGTTTCATTCTTTTTATTCCCAGTTACTATGTGTAGTACTACCACACAGAAAGAATTCAAACAATGTTTGTTCAGTAAATGAACATTAGCAAGGGTGTCTAAGAAAGTCTCAGCTACAGCCACCGCTGGTATATAGATATGTTTGAATCTGTCTAGGAAACTAATTAAATAGGTAATTATGGTGGGACTTCCTATTTAAAAAAACTCATTCTATAAGAGAAAATGAATCAGGCAGATAAGCTGGATCTTGTTTAAAAATTATAATGATGAAAACAGGTGATAGACTCTGAGAACCACATGTTATTTGTCATTGAATTTTGTCTTCCGTGGACCCACATCTAAGGCCTCATGGGAGTATGAGTAGGAGAAAATAAAGTAGGAATGGGAGTAGAAGAAAATAAAGACAGAATGAGTTATTTTACCAGAAATGTATTTCCTAGTTAAACTTCATAAATATAACCTCCAAACTGATGCCATGGCTCTGAGCCCACACTGAGAATGGCTTCTAAATCTATCATTTAGTCAGAAGAATGGACACCAGAGCCAGGCACAAATGAATATATTAGAATACTTTCCAGTCAAGAACTACATTAGAGGTATACTACATTTACATATGTATGTATGTATGTATGTATTTTTTACTTACTGGACTATATTATACTGTCCGGGACCAGGCCCTGACTTTGTAGGTAACTCCAGTCTTCCCAAAGAGTTGCCAAAATGTATCCCCTTGTATTTCAAAGTTGTATTGGAAAAATCCTTAAAAAAAAAAAAAAAAAAAAAGCAAAGATGAGACATAGTTTAAATAAGCCATAAAACAATGTTTAACTTCATTTAAGTCTAAATCTAAAGGAAGGACAGGCTTAGTCAAGGGGGTTCCGCTAACAATTGCAAAAGTCTTCTCTCAACCTAAATTAAAACTGCTGTGCCCCATCCCACTCCTGAGTCAGCCAGGATTCCTAGAGAGCTATCTCTAGTTTTAGCATATCCTCAACCAATATGACCAGCTCTCTTGGCAGTACACTTAGCAATCTAAAACCTTAAGGGCAATAAACATGAGCACCTCATCATTTAAAAAAGGGAGGGTAGGGCAGAACTATATGATTTAGGGACTAGAGAGTCTGCTAAAAATGATCTGAACTAAATAGAAATTAAATTAATTTCCAGAAATCAAATTCAAATTCAAGTATCACCAACAGTAGATAATTTCTAATTACCTAGCATTTAAACTATAACAAAATCATGCAGTTTTCAAATAGCAACAAATATATGACAAACGAATTAAATACTATCCCCAGTTCATTCTATTAATGCTTGAGGTCCAGACTCATCCTTTAATGCCAAAGAAATTATTTGTGACAAGAGAAATCAACAATCATGTTTCCTTTGCATCCACTATAATAAATGTCAAAATTTAATCATGACCCTAAATAGTTCACTTTAGGGAAGTTAAAGGACATGGTTTCATCAGAAATTAATAAAATAATGAAATATAAGAACAGTAACTTCTCTTACAGAAATTCTCTTTTGTTCACCTAATAGATTCTAAATTGAGCAATCATTCAAAATTTCTTTAAAAATCATTTTTTAACTAGGGTAAAAGGTAAACTCTGGCCTACTTATTTTTTAATTCATATTTGTAAAAATATAGTTTTAAAATAAGCTTGGATTAATAATCCGATTTATATACATATAAAAAATAAAATCCCCAAAACAAACTTGTAGCTTAACTGCAAAAAACAGGGTCACTTGTCCCAGGTAAGTATTACTCTTCTAAAACAGTGGTACCAACCTCTCTCAATTATCATTATTAATAATAATTAATAAAATAAATAGCAATATTAGTGAATAAAGTATAATTCCAATTCAAAATGGTGAATCAAACCCATATCTGCCCAGCTCCTACCAAAATTTCAAAAAATTTTTATAAAATAGACACAAATCACCAGTACTAGAATTTAAGAGATAGTATCAATCATGTTCCAAATCTTCAAAGAATTTCTGGAAAATATAACATAGCAGAGACTACAACCAGAAATAGAACTCACCACATGTGAAAAGAACCTCCTCTGAAGCCTACTAATGAACCCAATGAGACAGAAACCAGAGATTAGGATGGACTCTTTGGTGGAAAGTAGGGAGGAATTCTCAAAACTACTAATACCCTCAGAGATTTGTGCCACGGCCATTACATAAAGAGATGAAGGACAATGTTCACCCACTCTATTCTTAGCATGCATGGTTGGAAATAAATTGGAAGCTCTGCCACTGACCCCTAATGAGGACAAACTCTATTTAGAGCGGTACCATTCCAGAAAGCTTTGGGATGCCACAACAAAATCCAAAAAGCATCTGGTACAGCACTACAATTCCCTACTATGTGAAAATGCCTTTTACTTCCTAGAACTTACCATTAACTAGCCCTCAGATGTTACAGAATACAACACAGTAAAACTAAACTTTCCCTTCTACACCCACCTGTCTTAAAGAATTAAATAGGGGCCAATAAAATCTCTGACAGAACTTTGATGTTTCCATGAAGTGAAATAGGACCTTTGTCGATTCTTTTTACAGATGTAATCCCACAGAGAAATTGAACTGCAGTTTTTCTACAGGTTTCCCCTGCTTTGATTTCCCTTGTTTATTCCTTGCTTGGGGTGGTAGAGGATGTTGGAGCTGAGGGTAGAGAAACAGGGAGTTATTAATTAAGTCTAAGTAAGATTCAGACATGTTTTTAAATGTCTAGTGAACTAACAGGGCAAATCAACCAGAACGTGAATGTGAAAACTAATCTTATGGGAAGCAGCTAATCATAAGGACCCTCATCCAGTAAGAAAATCTTACTGCCCAAAAGTGGCAAATGTTAAATATTGAATATTTTCTGTGGACTGAATTAGCCCTCTAACAGTTCCCACTGGATTTTTGCCCGTGTCCTGGAGGGTACAAAAAGGCTATGATAAAAATCTAAAAGATTTCTTTCATTAAACACTGGTAAAACTCAGTGCTACTTTTAGACCCCTATAATACAATGTAAAACAAAAAGAGAAAGACATTATTCCCCAACTTCACCCCAGCTCATCATGCAGCTTTAGCTGTGATCAAGTACCTTGGTAGAAATTCCCAGCAGAGAGCACCATCTGGTAAGAGACTGAAGTACCTAGTGGAACGGCAGCTGTCTCAGTGGAAACAGACTTACTCAGGAGTATGGTCAAGACAGCCCCTGAGGACTCCCAGCAATACCCAAAAAGAAGTTGCAGAAGGCTAGAAGACCTCTAAATCAATAGGAGGAGATACTTACATTAGAGTTATTAACAAAACTGTGACTTTCTTTAGTACCCACAATCCAATGAAGCCTGGGAAAACTTGTTACATAAATAAAAAGGATTAATTCTTATTTCCACTAGGAATATTTCCAGCACTATAAGTGGCCTCAGTGTACTTAGATTATTAATATGTAGATCCCTTCTAATGAATTATAATGCAAAGAGCAGAGAGGTATTTTCCTATCTTCACTATAGACATTCAGCTTTAACACTTATGAAGCTATAACACTATAAAGCACTATATCAAAGTAAGGTGATATTATTACCATTATTATCATAAGTAGGTTGTCCAGTTGATACATGATTCTCAAGCCCAGATCTTTGTCAGTACTAGAAGGAACAGAGCTATGAAGAAAAATTGAAAGAGCTATCTCACCAATCTCTATAGCACTTAGAGTATACATTGCTTTGGCACTCCTGAGCATAACACAAAAGGAAATAAGGCAGTCAGATCACCCAAAGGCTTTGGATCTGGAGTGCAGAGACAAATGTAACACCTAGCATGAGAGTATAGAAAAATGGGACACCCTGACATGTCCCAACAGAGCTACAGATGGTAGCAGATGAATACTGGAAGAAACTGTGGCATCCACTAGAATAGCTGAAAAGCAGCCTGTTCCTTTGGGTCAGTGGCAACTCCAAAGACTGCTGCACCCTACAGAGCTTTAGGAAAAGAAAGAATGTCAAGCCACACAAGACTTCTTTTTTCTAAAGTAAGTGCTGTAGATCATCTTTCAAATGGATTTATCTAACATAGCCATGAATTTCAAAAATACATAGTTTTGTGTACAGAAAGAGCAAAATATCTTCATTGTGTTATACTTTATTTTTTAATTAGAAATTAACAGAAATTCCATAATTGTGCAGATTTTAGGCATAATAAGTAAAGTACACAAATGTAGAACTCTGTTCTAATATAACATAACCGTGTTAGATATGTTAGATATTTTATATATTTCAGGCAGAAGCATATCTACTATGCTTATTTACTATAGCCTATAGATTAAAAAAAAAATCAGCATTTTAAGACAGCATTTTGGTAAATCATCTCTTACATCGCATTTTTATAGCCTAAAAAATACATGTTAAAGTTTTATATTAATTCTTTTAATGCAGCATTTCAAGACCTTGAGTAGAATTAGGTCTAGGAAACTCTTCAGGTTAATTTACACTGTTGTGATTTTGTGGTTCAACTGTTTAATAATTCTTAAGGTAATCCAGCAGAAGGAAAGATCATGCATAAATATACATACACACCATTCAAGACATTAGCAAAATCCTTTTCCTGTACATACACTAAAATTCATTTCACCCAAATCATATGAACTTTTTCACTGAACTCTTGACTACAGAGGTTACTCAGGTAAATGTTCAATCTGAAATTTAATTTAAAAGCCTCTTAAAAATGGAGGACAGAAAATGAAAAATAAATTAATGCACTCTTAACTCTAAATCATACTGTCTTTATGTCAAGAAGTGTTGACAATACCAACTTCAAGGTCATTGTCAACTTGGAAAATCATTAGCAAATAAAATATGACTTAATTGAAGCAAACTCAGCAGGGAGCTGCATTATTTTAAGTAAATGCTGTAATATAACTTGAAGAAGAATTACTAACTGCCACTCCCACTGACAATAAAATGTATGAAGAAGGGGCTATGCAACTTTTCCACCATGTCTTTTCCATAATTAAGTATGGAAATAGAATTTTTGAAGAATTAAAAGTCCCAAAGTGCATCAATTCAAACACTAATGGACTGTTCTCCAGCATGGCAGCACACAGGTAGTTCCCAGCATGTTATCATTAGCAAATGTCAGTGCCCTAATTCCACCACAAACTTTGCTTGTGAAATCCACCTCTAAAAAGTAGGTTTCTAATGGTTACCTGAGCTCTTCTTAAAAAAGAAAGAGAGAGGGTGCGTGGGTGGCTCCGTGGGTTAAGCCGCTGCCTTCAGCTCAGGTCATGATCTTAGGGTCCTGGGATCGAGTCCCGCATCAGGCTCTCTGCTTAGCAGGAAGCCTGCTTCACTCTCTCTCTCTGTCTGCCTCTCTGCCTACTTGTGATCTCTCTCTGTCAAATAAATAAATAAAATCTTTAAAAGAGAGAGAGAGAACACAAGAGAGACACTAAATTTTATAACTCAAATATTATACAAAGTAATTTATGTACAGACTTTTCCCTTACAGATTGAATAAGCTAAAACTTATCATTTGTTGGCTAGAGTCTTATACAACTTTTAATTTCAAAGCCTGTTTTCTATTTAAACTATGTAAAATATCTCCAGCATATATTATTCACCAGTTCAGGGAAGAACCACAACTATTTCACACCTCTTGGATTATTTTCTTAATCTTCTATAAATATTCACTCATCTAGAAACTGAGCCCATATATGAGATTATCTCAAAAAGCAACTAAAGAGATACATAGAATTCTCAGAAATTGGGTAAAATCTAAATGAACATTACTATAGTATCAATTTCACAATTCCTATACAGTCTATAGGAATCTGTATTTTTTTTGGGCTGAAGGAAAAATAAAATAAATTTTATAAGTCAAAGTAATGTTTATTCATTAGGTCTAGGAAACTCTTCAGGTTAATTTACAGTTGTGTTTCTGTGGTTCAACTGTTTAACAATTCTTAAGGTAATCCAGGTTTTGTACATCTAGGTAAGCTTGAAGGCAAGGTTCCAGCCCTTGAATAGATGATAGACTATTCCAAAACAAAGAAATAGTGTATATGAAAAGTTTAATTTTAAAGAAAGAATAACCATTTTGAGATTTAAGGTAAGAGTATTCAGAGAATTGTTTAAGTTAAGGCCAAAGATCCAGGACTATTGTAAAAAAGAGTTTAAGCAAGGACAAATAACTATTAAGTGGTGAAGCCAAGAAACAAACCCAGGTGGTATACTCCATTCAACTACATCTTCTAACTTTTCCTCACCTTGAACAGAATATACTGCTATTAAACCACAGGACTTCTCTAATTTCACTGCAATTTTTACATAACTTATCTCTACTGTTCTTCTAAGCATCTTACTCAAATATCTAAAATACTGGCACTGTCTGCTGAAGAAGACTAATTATTTTGAGATTATTAACAGGATGGTGGGATAGTCAAGGCCTGGAAAACCAGGTACGGCATAGAAAAAGAAGGCAAGATACTCATGGGATAAAAGACCCCAGAGTCAGAAGAAATGGAAATTCTCTGAGAATAGGAGACACATCTATAAATTACAATGTCCTTCCTCTCCATATTTCCAGAGATAACCCGGTTCTTTTTAACTTTTATAGCATAAAACAGTCCAAACCATGAGAGATTCTGGACTCTGGAGAAAAAACTGAGGGTTACAGAATAGAGGGGGGTGGAGGGATGGGGTAACTGGGTGATGGGTGTCAAGGAGAGTACATGTTGGGATGAGCACTGGGCTATATGCAACTAATGAATTGTTGAACACTATAACAAAACCTTATGATGTGCCATATGTTGACTGAAGGAACATAATGAAAACAAACAACTGTACTTGAACATAAAATATATCATTTCTACTGTATTCCATAATCAATAGAAATCAAATAGAGGAGTTACAAGCTAAAAATAAAATAATACTGGCTTATGTATTTGCCATTATCATTGTTCTTTAATTCTTTGTATAGATTTGAGTTACTATCTAATGACCTTTCATTTCAGCCTGAAGGACTGACTGCCTCTAGCATTTCTTTAGAGGAAGTACTAGAGATAAATTCTTTCAGTTTCTGTTTACTTGGGAATGTTTTATTTCACCTTCATTTTCAAAGAACAGAATTCTCGATTGGCAGTCTTTTTTTTCTTTTTCCCAGCACTTTGAAAATATCATCCCAGTGTCTTCTGGCCTCCATCGTTTCTGATAATCAACTGTTAATCTTACTGGGGAATTCCTTGTCACTTCTCCTGCTTTTTTAACACCTCTCTTTGTCTTTGGCTTTCAATAGTTCGACTATAATGGATCTAGGTATGCATCCCTTTATATTTTATCCTGCTTGGAATTCACTGAGCTCCTTGTATGTATATATCAATGTTTTTTCAACAAATTTGGGGTGTTTTAGCCATTATTTCTTTAAATATTCTCTCTGACCCTTTCTTTTTTTCTTTCCTTCCTGGACTTCCATTATCCATACATTGGTCTGCATGATGGTGTCCCACAAGTCTCTTAAGCTATGTTTATTTTTCTTCATTCCTTTTTCCTTTGTCAGACTATATAGTATCAATTGATTTGTCCTCAAATTTTCTGATTCCTTCTTCTCCAGTTCAAATCCATTACTGAATCCCACTAGTAAATTTTCAAGACTATAACTATACTTTTCAGTTCCAGAATCTCTATTTGATTTCTTTCTAAAATTTCTAACTTTTTATTGATACATTCTATTCAGTGAGACACTGTTCTTATATTTTCTTTTAGTTCTCTAGACATAGCTTCCTTTACTTCTTTGAATCTATTTAAAATAGCTGATTTAACAAGTTGGTCTAATAAGTCCAACAAACTGGCTTCCTCAAGAAGTTTCTATTGATTGCTATTCCTACATATGGACCATATTTTTTTGTTCTTCGCATTTCTCATAATTTTTTAAGTTGAAAATTGCACATTTTAGATAATATAATGTGGCAACTCTGGAAATCAGAATCTCCCCCTACCACTGAAGGGTTTGTTGGTGCTTGTTTGGTTAATGATGTCCCTGGACTATCATTAGATTCTGCATTCTTTGTCATATGTGTCTACTGAAGTTTCAGCCTGGTTAGCTAAGTGGTCAGGTAATGGCTGGACAATCGTTGGACAAGTCATTTCCTTAAATGCTTGAACTAATAAGTCTCCAACCTTTGCAGTGGTGCTCTGTGCATGTATGTGTCAGCACACACCTTCAATGTTCATATAGGCAGTCTATAAGTCTACCTTCCAGTGCAGTGCCCTTACCTATAGGTAAGAGCTTTCTATTTTGTCAAGTCTGGTTTTTTGCAGGGATGGGTTAGCAATGAAATTTCTTTCAGTGTTTCACAGGACTAAGCAAGTAAGTAAATATATTGAGAATAATAGAATAAAAGGTTTCTCACTGAAAAGCAAAAGCTAGAACAAACCTGTGGTACTGGATTGGAATTTCTTAAGAACAAGATACTGTCTTTTATAACCACAACATAATTATCAAAATCAGGTATCAGCATAAACTCAAAGATTTTAATAGATAGATAAGAAATCAGTATGGATTTCTAATCCTGTCCATTGACAGCCTGAAGCAATGACACCACAGGAACAATACATGTACACAGTATAATGATCTTCTTTTGAAATACCATTCTCCACTAAATGGAAATAGGGCTCCTTAAAGAAATGTCTGATTCCAGGGCTGGAGCAGGGAAAAAAAAATTGGTGAACTTGGAACATCTCACTACGCCAGAAGGTAAAGAAATGCTCAAAGAATGATGAGGACATGTCAAAAAGACAAGAGATGCTAGCTTAAAAGGGCTCACAAGGATCAATTCTGAGGTAATTTAAAGCTCAGAATAAATAATGAGTAATAAATGATAAGCTTTTAGTAAAAGAGGAATTCATTTTTAGTAAAAGAGGAATTCATGAATCCCATTATATAAATGGGAAAAAAGATAAGGAAAGCTCTCCTTTAAAGTGCCAACAAACACATGTTAAAGGAAAGATGGAGTCATAAAACCACCCCTTGATAAACATCACAGTAAAATTGAATCAGGCATCATGAAAGGATATTAAATTAGTGAGTTTGATGACGAAAAATATATCTACTTATTCTTAAAGTAACTCCCACAAAATATTTATAAATTTTTTAAAAACAGTAATTTACACTAGATAAAACTGGAAGATACCACCTCAAATCAACATCATCAATCATGAGATAAACATATATCCTGTGCCTTTTTATGTGATGCACTGAGGATACATCATTTCTGGAGTATTCCTGCCAAAATATATAAACTTACTCTAATCATGATAAAATACTCTACAAAGTAAATAGGCTGTACTCTTCAAAAAGTCAAGGTTACAAAAGACAAAGACTAAAGAACCATTCCAAATTAAAGGAATTTTTTTTAAGATTTTATTTATTTATTTGACAGAGACAGAGAAAGTACACAAACAGGAGGAGTGGCAGGCTCCCCACTGAGCAGGGAGCCTGATACAGGATACGATCCCAGGACCCTGGGATCATCACCTGAGCTGAACATAGATGCTTAACCAACTGAGCCACCCGCACAGTGGCTGCACTAGTTTACATTCATGGGTATCTGTTATGTTTGTACTGTTCTATGTGTAATTATGTAAATTACAGTAAATATATATTTTTTAAAACTTTTAACAATTCAAAGGATCTAAGATGCAAAAATGTCCCAGTATAGCCACAAACCAAATGGTTTCTAAAAATATTTGGGTCTAAGCCCAAAGATGGAGACATGTACAAACAAAACTTATAGAGTACTAAAATTGAAGGTCAAGCCAAATCTGAGAATACCTATTCTTTGCCCAAGGTTTGTCATTCTTCAGCCTCTCCTTAAGACTATGCTTAATTCTGGCCATCTTCCTCATGGGGATTACTTCTTCCAGATCTCATAAAAGTATAAAAATGTTAAGTTCAAAGCACTATGTACTTCAGTCTTGTAACTAAGTAAAACCAGACAAATCATTTATATTCATGGATAATTCATATATTTTAATTGGCTAAATGAAATTCTGGCTCAGTTTTGGCCAGGTTTGAACCCAAAAACCTGCATGAGATGGACGTGCTATAATATGCTTGATATTTTAATTAAAGAGAAGCTCCTTAACTTTTTTAAAAAATTTTGTGAAATAAATAATCCTTATACTACCAGATTCAAATTCCTTTATTAAAAAAATCCCTTTTCCCTTCCAAATTCAGGAAAGGAATATCTATGTATTGCATAAGATTATACATTGTAGCAGACACTTCTAGTAAGTGAAACCTGTTTCCTCTTCTTCCTAGATGTAATTAGACTATATTTACCAGCCTTCTTGGCCCTTAAATGTGTCTCTGTGATTGAGCTTTAATACCCAGATTTGGCTACAAAATCCTCCCACTAGCAGTCCTCCATTCTCTTTCCCCTTTGCCAGCTGGATACAGGTGAACTGAAGCCCTTCGATGATGATAGTGACATGAATGGAATGAGCCTGTTTCCCTAGATCTCTACATAGAGGAAAGTCTCTTATCAACAAGGAATATGCATATGAATGAGGAAAAAAAGAACTTCTGCTGTATTAAGCCACTGAGATTTGGGGGTCTATTTATCACTGAAGTTGGCATTACATTAATTAAAACATGCATAATCACAAACAATCTTCCAACTATCAACAGAAAATACATTGTACTTACAAATTGAGGTTTATAGTATGCTGGACCTAGTGTACTGTCACTAGCAGGTGGAGAATGTTTCATAATACTGCCATCCTCATTAATATCATAACCATATGACCATCCACAAGGAGGAATTGAAGGAACATCAACACTTCTGTAAACTGTAGGTGGTACCCTTGAAATTTTCTATAAGAAAACATTTTACATTATTTACTTAGAGATAAGAAAAGGAATAAAGAACCAAATATTAAAATTTATTAAAAGGCAAATATAAATATTGACTTAATGACTTACATGATATAAACCAGAAATGTTAATTCTATAAAAGCAATTTAAAGAAGTAAATTCAAGTCTCACATAATCATATAAATTAAGATAATATATAGTATTACCATTAAAGCCACCTTAAAGAGGAAAAGAGTCTCCCTCACTTGGCTCAGTTATTTATTTTGCTTAGTTAATAAATATTACTGATGCTAAAAGTAGGCATTCACTCCTAGTCTCATCATCAATCACCAGTTCAAAGTGGTTACTTGTGCTATACTATCATAATATCTCCCAGGCAAAAATGAACTTTATATTTTTCTGTAACATTTCCCAGCTTCATTCTTTCAGCTAAATCAGCTCCTGATTTATCTCCATATTACTGGTGCTCTATATAAATATCCTAATTATGCTGACCAGATAGCAAGAAAAATGTCTATGACATAATCCTAAATGGAAATAGAAAAATAGAATGTATGACTAGGTAAGATACATGCAATTATATACAAGTATATATAATAATATATATATGATTTAATGATGAACTTTTAAAAACTATGCAAAAATTAACAGAATTATCCAAGTTATAGTCAGAAGTTTTAGGGTGATTATCATTTTTTTTTAATTTCCTTTAGCATGAAATATTTTATAATTTAAACAATAAAAAAGCAACATATAGTAGGAATACTAGTATAAAATTTAGCAAATGAAATGCTGGCATTTAAACGATTTAGTTAAAAAATTTTTTTTAATTTAAAAAATAAACAATTTAGTTATCTGGAAAACTACTTAAGAATATATTGATCCTCTGTTGTTTCTGAATAAATAAATGCTATAGTTTAGTGTATGCATGCCCGCATGCCCAATAGACAATTACATTATAAATATACTATCACTAGCAGAATTTTACTTTTTTTTATCATTAGAGACCATATACTGATTACCAAATTGTAACAGGAAGTATTGAATAGCTTCTCCCACTACTTTCAAAAATTATTTCCATGATATCAAGACTTGCCAAAATATGTCCCCTATCTCCTTCTCTACCCTCTATTCCTACTATCCTCCCTTAGATCCTATAATCCAAATATTCTAAAGAACTCTGTTCTTCCCCAGACATACCAACCCACTAAAAACCGCAATGTCTTTATTCACATGGTTTTCTCTTCCTGGAGTGTTTTTATCCCATTATTTTAACACTTAGTGAATCCTTCTTTAAGATCCAGTTTGATTGTGATATCACTATTCCCTCCAAAAACTCTCTACTTTGGGCTACTAGCAGACATTTTATTATGATATATGTTTATTAAAATAGCATTGCATCAAATATTTTATACTGAATTACATAATTTCCCTATTAAAATTATAGATCCAGGGCACCTGGGTGACTCAGTGGGTTAATCCTCTGCCTTCAGCTTAGGTCATGATCTCAGGGTCCCGGGATTGAGCCCTGCATCGGGCTCTCTGCTCATCGGGGAGTCTGCTTCCCCCCACCCCACTAACTGCCTGCCTCTCTGCCTACTTCTGATCGATCTCTCTCTCTCTCTCTCTGCCAAATAAATAAATAAAAGCTTAAAAAAATAAAAATAAAAAATAAAATTATAGATCCTGGGAAGCAATGATTTGTCTTCTATGTGTTGCCAGTGCCTAGAATTATGTCTATTATACACAGTCTCTGGAAAAAAATGTCTGATATTAGTTTCAAATGCATACCATAGTAACTGGACAATTCTGTACATTATGCAATGCTCACCACAACAAGTGCAGTTACCATCTGTCACCATACATATGGTGACATATGTATGGTGACATATGACACACATACATAGTCATATAATGTTACTGACTATATTCCCTATGCTGTACTTTTCCTCTCCATTACTTATTTATTTTAAACTGGAAGGAAGGAAGGGGATGAAGGGGAGGAAGAAATTCCTAATGTGTCCATTAAAAAACATTCATAAGTCTTGAAAAAAAAATAACTTACTACTTTTCAGAAGAAAATATCACAGTGTTATTAAGAAAATGCAAAAGATTACTTTAATGTCAAATAAAACAAGTGTATCCTTCTTTAAAAAGATCTGATAAACCCTTGCATAAGCAAATGAACACTTACTTTGTCCCCACTTACAAAATAGCAGATATTTAAATATACTTATAAACCTTAACTTCATTGTCATTGTACTGACATTATTCAACTGAGCACTTAGCTCTAAAATATGTCCCCTAAACAAAGCTGATTAAAATGTAATTAAAATGAGCTATGTGAAGGAGTTATGTTAAAAGAAAAGAGAACCACTCTAAATAAACTGACCAAAATCTAGATTATTTATTTCAAAGGGCTAGGCCTTTGGTATAAAAATTATTCATTATATAAGACCAATGTGCTTTTCCAAACATGTCATCTGCTAGTCTCCTACATGAATTTTTTACTTGGGTCAGTACAATCTTCTGTCTTCCATGGACCCTACTACACTACCTTCACCCCTATAGCTCTCCATGCCTGGAATGTATAGTCCAACCCTATTCTTCAAGGCCAAACTTCTCTATAAATCCTCTACAAAGTATACTTTGCCATGATGTAGTAGTCTTCCTTTAAATTCCTATGGCATTGGGGGGCCTGGGTGGCTGAGTTTGTTAAGCATCCAACTCTTGATTTTGGCTCAGATCATGATCTCAGGGTCATAAGATGGAGCCCTGACTCGGGCTTTATGCTAGGCATGGAGCCTGCTTCAGATTCTCCCTCTTCCTCTATCCCCTAGCCCCATTCGCTCTCTCTAAAAAAAAAATTAATGTCATTTTAAAATTCCTATGGCATTCAATTACATGGTTATTCATTTAGCACCTATCATATTTCATCTTGCATTAGTAACAATCTATATAGCTCTCTCTCATCTAAATTTTAAGTTTTTTATTTCAGGAATCATGCTTTCAATTTCACTGTATTATTAACAGTACTTATTACAGAGTTTTTTCTATATATATAGGTAGACCACTCAGGTGGTTTTTTAAATCTCCTTTACTTTCCATTTACCATAGAAATTGGAAGTGATAATAGATTTATTAAGAGCAAAAATGAAGTCAGTTGTTAATACAATAAAAAACTAGTTTATACACATTGAATATAATTATAAACTACAATATGGATACTAATAAAAATAATTGTTATAGTAAAGTTTTTCTTAAGGTACTTACCACATAAAACATTAAACCTTTTCTATTTTAACTAAAAGAAATGTCAGAGTATAATTTAAAATAGCAACGTACTGATTGAAGATGCTCTTTAACCTGCAGTGCTTTTCTGTTCATGATATCTAATGTTCCAGGATAAAACTGATCATAGCTTGCTGGTCCTGGGCTATCTGAAACAAACTTCTTAAAACGCTTCTCCCGGTTTTGTAGACTATGACCTCCTTTTATATTATACTAAATTGGAGAGAAAAAAAATGAAATAATTAAAATAAGCACTTTATAACTAATACCTATTTGGTAAGTATTACATATTAATATGAACAAACAGTTTTAGAACCCAACCTGAGAAAGTTAAGGCTCTTGACTAAAGACATCATTCTAGAAAAGGGATAATAAGAGAGGACAACAACTATAGTCATCAGTTTTAACTAGGAACTCAGACTAAAATTTACTATACTTAGGACACTCCAAGAGAATGCAAAATTCAGTTTTAAAACAGGAATCAAAACAAAGGAATCCTGAAAGTTGTAGAGTAAGAATGAAGAGCATACACTAGCAGGCCTCAAAAGAATACGTATCTCTGAAATGAGCTAAAAATATCGGTACTCACACTGCAAGGAAAAAGCAACCTTTCCAAGCTTGTTTAGGATTAATTATTTTCATGAACTACTTTTTGGTCATTTCCAGGGATGCTTACATAGGCTTAGTGGCAACTGCATGGGTTTTTATTTGGTTGGCTGGTTTATTCTTTGTTTTTTTAACAGCACATTTTCTTTTTCTTTAATTAACATATAATGTATTATTTGTTTCAGGGGTACGTGATTCAACAGTCTTACTTCTCCAGAAAGGGATTCTCTAGTATCTTCTATGCTTTTTTCAAAGCCAGCTAGCATCTTCATAATCATTCTGAACTCCGGTTCTAACATTTTACTAATGCCCATATTGATTAGGTCCTTGGCAGTCAGTATTGTCTCTTGTTCTTTTTCTTGAGATGAGCTTTTTTTTTTTTTCATTTTGTCATTTTGTCCAGAGAAGAAAAGATGAATGAGAGAAAAAAAATGCTAAAAGGGTAACAATGACCCCAGAAAAATATGCACTAAACAAATCAGAAGAAACCTGAAACCAGAGGAAAAGAAAAAAAAAGAAGAGAAAGAATATGATCAGGACTGTGAAGAGACCAGAGCCACACACTAGATTTTGGGTGTATTTTGGCCTGTTAGAAGAAACTGCCTCCCAAAATTTTAAAGAAAGAAAAACTATATATCTATATACATGAAAATAATGGTAAATACAATGAAGGGATATAAATGACTATAAAAATGAAAAATTTTAAATATTTTTAAAAAGGAATTGGTAAGATCAGAAGTTGGTTGAAAAAGAAAGAAGAAAATAATTTTTTAAAAAGAAGAGAATGTGATCAGGTGAGTGAACAGACCAAAGCCATATACTAGATTTAGAGTATATTTTGGTCTGTTAGAAGAAACTGTATCCCAAAATATTAAAGAAAGAAAAACATATATGTATATAAAAATAAGGTTAAATACAGTGAAGGGATAACTGTAAAAACGAAAATTTAAAAAGACTTTAAAAGGGGAATTGATAAGAAGTTGGTTGAAAAGGAAAGAAAAAGAATTTTTAAAAAAAGAAATAAATATAGAAAACTTTAAAAATTGACTTCAAAAGAATAAAGAATTATGGGGGAAAAGCCATGAATTCTATGTGCTGTATTC